TTAAATTAATTTGGCCTCTTAAACTGATGTGAAGTAATTTTTCATCGTTTTTTGAGTCAGAAATTAGTGTACATTAATTTAAAGTTATTTAAAAGTTCCAATGGGTAGGTTTTGGTCACGTATTAGCACTATCTAATTCTTCCTAGAACCCCCTGACGAGGTCTTTGGCAGGGCCGAAACTGTTCTTAAATTTTGAGGCATTTTTCTAAGAGAACAGTCGGGGAAGCCTGGAAATCAACTCAACGTACAGCAAACCTTATTCAAATTACGGACACTAACACATTATTTATATTATTTACACTTTCACATCGCATTTATCCTTTCACGTAAATTATAATTTCGTCATTTCGTCGAACCCAAAGCGAAGCACCAGCGGCTCTCTTTAGGGCTATCTTAAAGGTGTAAATCTTCAAGATCTAAATAGAACTCTTTCGTGTTTCCTTAGTGCACAAGTTATATTACCTAAACTTAAGAACCTTAACAATGCCCAACAAGCAGTGTGTATTCTGTGAAAAATGGAATGCAACGAAGAATATTTCTTCGGCAAATTATTACCATTGGTGCCACGAACTGCTACAATCCGAAGGCAAATCACTAAATTTTGAGAAAGGGGTTTTTCTCTGTACCAGTTGTGACTTACGTTTCTACAAACAGAAGAAAAAGGAGACCCCTGAAACCACACAAGAACGGAGCGATTACGACACTGAAGACATGGACACAAATGAACCAGAACCAAATCAGTCATTAACTATTGAAAACGTTATTTTCGCAGGTTCTGGACATGGTCGTTGTATCGTCTGTCTAGCGGAAATTCGGGCAGACGCAGTCGTTATGCCAAAGACGGCTAGGCTCGATTTATTAGTTTTAAAAAGATATTATTCACCGCATGGCGTTAGGTGTTGTTCTGATCATTTGTTAGGTACGCGTCTGTCTCCAGATTGTGAAACCGAAACCGAAAACAGAAGTCAAACAATGGCAAAACTACCTCATAATGCCATTTCAACATAAACATCTTATAACGGAAATATTACGTGAAGTAGAAGACAATTAATGCAATACTGATTGTCTCATATGTATTCTTCTACTTACAGTCATGGTAAAATGAGAACAAATCAACAATTTTATGTATTGAATTACATGATGGTCAACCAGTTTTAGTTATCACTAAAACTACTATCACCATCATCAAAATCTCAAATTTATAGCAGTCGCTAAAGAAAAACTTAACTTGTGCTTTGCTGTTAGTTAAATAACTATAAGATTGATTTCAAGCTCGAAGGCTAAATGCGAAGTAAAACGTAAGGCAATTTTGTGTGAAACATCACAGTTTGAATATAATGACAGTGAAAATGATTTAGACGAAGTTAAAGCATGTAAGTAGTGTTTTATCGCTTTAATTTAACCACTAAGCTGTTTATGTGTTTTATAGTTATTCATCGTGAACCTAAAACAGTCAAACTTGTTAAGCCGAAAAACAGACATACTGAAAATCAGGCAGATGAACATGATAATCATATAAGTCAGTAATTTATCCGTATTGGTTCTTAGAATTGCTTTTTATGCGCTAAATATTTTCATTATTTAGTACGTCTCGTATCAAAAACCAAAAAGAAATCTAAACTTAAAAAAATCAACGTGGTGAGCTAGTTCTAGGTTGGAAAAAGTTAGGAGCTAAACTCTACAATTTCGGGAGCAAACATCTGTGGAAAAGTTCCATAGTATCCAGTAGCTCTACAACATATTTAGGATGAGAGAGATTATCTTCTTTAATGCAAAAATGCCTGATATATTGACACAAGTACAAGAAAACCATTGTTTTCTATAGCCTGAGATCACTAGGAAACCTGCAAAAACGAAGTATCTATCATTAATTGGAGAATTTCAAATTTATAAAGAGAGTGAAACGTCGTCTTAAATGCTAGTATAATGTAACCTATGCTTTGCATTGTAGTTTCTGATACGGTAAAGATTGGAAAAAAGAAAACTAGCAAGACAGCAATATCAACCAGCGATAATGAAAATGAAACAAATACAGTTATGGATGAACAAATAACTACTCCATCAATACCGACAAGTATATCTAGTAAGTTGGCGTATACTGTTTACCTAATATTTTTTTGAGTTTAGTGTAATTTTAGAAAATAAATATAAATACATGAAAAAAAAATTTATTTTTATTTTATAATAGTAAATGATCCATGTATCTTTATTTCTTTATTATTACAAAGGGTCATTTACTTTCATAAAATAAAGATAAATTTGTTTTATATATTGTTTTAGATATTTGTTTTCATTTATTTATATCACTTACCCTCGATGCCTTCGAACAACAGTATATTAGTTGATCTGGTAAGTATTGCACTGAACTTTCTCTTTTGTTGACAGTCGATTTTTCCTGTCTTGCTAATTTAGTTCAAGAAAACAACGATAAATCAGTCGAAATGCAAACATTATTTCGGATCGAACAAAATGACCTTGCAATGACTAGGCTTGTTGAAGTTGTTACACCACTTACAACTACAGGCATGGTTTAGGATTCTACTAATACAAAATTTATATGTATATAATTTTCATTTAGACGAACAAATTATCACTCCATCGTTATCATTTCCTCTTCTTAATCTATCATCATCTAGTATTACAATTACTTCATTACTAGTGTCATTCTATGAAAAAGATAGTAAGTGCTTAAAATTTAAAACCACTATCATGTACTACTTACTGATCGTGCACTTTTCTTGGGTATTAGCTAATAAACATATCTTGAAAGAAATTCCACAAAATAAACAAAAGCAAACAATTAATCATACTAAAGGTAAACTCATCATTTTTGGCTGTAAGCAAACATCGGCAAAAGTCCTCATTACAGGAAAACACAATGTAAATAGCAGTATTATACCAAGTAACATGCAACCATTGATCCAAGTTGATCCACGAACAAACATTAGTAATAATAAACAAATGGTGTATTCATTTCACGTAGCAAAAAACCTGTCACTAGCTCATTGTGCGATGGATAATCCGTTATTTACTGTGCTTACATATTTTTCTTCTCTTCACATGATTGCAGATGGAAAAGTGCGTATTTCATGTGTTGTTTTCGGCTGTTAAGCCCATAAATTTATCGGAGGGAAACAAAAACAAATAGAAATTCATCCCTTGTTTTACTCCTCTTCACCAGATGAGGTAAAATCGTAGATTAACGTTCTGTGAGATTATCTCACACTGCCGTAGAACTCGGGCAGACGCATTCTGTCAAATGATCTTGTAAGAACTTACAGGCCATACTTCACGTGAGAAGAGAAGTTTTAAGGCTCAGTTATTATTTAAAAAGCCTCCCACTTTCCACCTCCTTCGGTTAAAAAAAACAATGTACCTCGGAGTGAGTTTTTGAAATTTTTGGCAGTAAGTCCACAAACTTTCGAGGTACATACAAAATTTTCTTCCCGCTTTCAGAAAATATACTCAAATCACTATTTCGCTCCGTTACGTTTGTAGAGTTAAATTATTATACTGTTGATTTAGATTGTAAATGGAATTAATATGTTGAAACTGGTTAAAGAAGGCACAAAGGCAACTGCATTTGCTCGCGTTGTTGCTCTATTTTCAAAATAAGAAATATTATCTGGTGCAATTTACGAAGATACAAATATAGAACGTTATTCATTTAAAATGAGTGAGTTTCACCTCGAAAACACAAACAATATGTTGAACACGTTTACATACTTTTTTCCTTAGAATGTGTTAAAATTAGATATGGGTATACCGAAAGTCAACTAGCTGTACGACTTAAGAAAATCCGAAATGCTCCAAAACAAATGGCTCTTGACATGAAAAACAAAAAATGCAATGCACCGGCTATTGTGGAGAATACTGATGGTGGGCATAATATTCTAGTTAAAAAACTTGAATTGTAACCAGGTATTTTTGGTTTAGATGATGAGGTTGATGATAATGAAAATCCGGAAGATGAACAAAATGAAGAAGAAGGACAAGATGAACAAGAGGATGATACTGGTAGTGAAGTTACTGATTAAAGAAGAATATTGTTTGTGTGAAAGCTCGCTTTTGCTTGTTACATCTTGTGTTTTCCTTTTGTGTTTACATATCTTATATTGTTCATCAAAGATAGTTTTTTCTGTGTTTTTTGTCTTCGATGTATGATTATGTAGGTTCACACAAACTAAACATGCATGATATACTGAAAGATCATACTTTTGAAAGGAATCCGAAACAACTCTTGAATGGTGGCTGGAAAATATGTCATAGTATCATACAGTTTATAATAGAAAATATCAGTCAGAAAAGCAAGTCACATGGCACAGCGAGCTCGCAAGAACTTTTTGCAAGCCACATGACGCGGCTTTGTCACACCCATGGCCACGTGACGTGTCCTGTCGTGGAAAATCTAGCGTGGCCATGGCAAGTTAGAGCGTTCACCTGGCGTCCGTTTCCCGAAACTTTTTTCCTCTCGAAATAATTTTAATGTTTTAAGCCATATAGATACATTACTTCCTTTTGCTGCTGTAAAATAAATAAAGCAATGCAATGTCAACCTTTCGGTAGCATTAAAAATGTGTTTGTTTGTTTCCTTCTCCCCAGTGTATGTTCGTTTTACTTCTCATTAGGTATGCAACAGTTACGGTTAACTGTAACTTAAAAAACCGTCTCAGTTAAAACCGTCGGAGTTAAAAATTGTTACTGTTAAAAATTCTTGAAAGAAGCAAACACAATTCGAACATTTGAAGTGCGTATAAGTGTCGGGAGACATGGTTTACATTGAGTATGTGATTTTCATGTTTTGAGAATATTGAAGAGATTGAAATACTGTTTTCATGTCTTAAGATTTGCCAACAGTATTTCAATCTATTTCAATCTCTTCAATATTCTCGAAACATGAAAATCACATACTCAATGTAAACGATATCTCCCGACGCTTATACGCACTCTAAAAATGTTCAAATTGTGTTTGCTTCTTTCAAAAATTTTTAACAGTAACAATTTTTAACTCAGACGGTTTTAATTGAAACAGTTTTTAACTGTACCAGTTTCACAGTTACAGTTAACTGCGTTTTAACTGAAACTGGTGCATACCTACTTATTACCTACAGACATTTCCTTTCTGTCGATTAGAGAGTTAATTCACAGAAAGCGTCGATACTTGTCATAATATGATGTCTGTTCATATCTATGTTTCATGTACCATTATTCGTCGCATGTGCTACATGAAGTACATTAACAACAACTAGCGCTTATTTAGTTTTAGTATACGCTTGAATTTTTCTCGCTTCTCTACTTTCTTCTCTATTTAAGTCAATCAAATGTATATAACCAAATATATAAGAATTTTCAAAAAAATTTCGCCAAAAAGTACTTCTAATAATTTCAGAAATTTTCTGAAATTCTAATAATCCATTTCAGAACATAAGGCAGTCCACGATCTTGGATTCTTGAATCTTTCACTCAAGATCTTGAGTGAAGCCACTCAAGATATTGCAAGAGAGAGAGTAACAAATTTTCTTTACACTTTGTTTTTATTTATGACAGTCGTACCCATTGGATATATGGTCATATAGAGTCATGAATTCTTCCTTAAACAACTATGGTCAAGAAGGAAAAAAATTCTAAGTCATTCTAAGTGTGAAAATATTCGCATTTATATTTACACAAGAGTGTAAAACAAAACGATGATTCAAGAATTTCCAAGACCTTGGTACAAGAAGTCAAGAAATTACAAGATGTTCAAGATCTTGACTTCTTGATATTTCTTGAATTCTTATATTTTCTTGCTAAGATCTTGAATCAAGATCTTACCAAAACAATTCAAGAAGTCAAGATCTTAGTTACAAGAAGTTTCACTAGGGAAGAGCTAGAGAGCTGGGACTTTCACTATTGGAAATTAAATTGATGGGGCTATATGCCTACGGATCAACATTAGCAAAAATATCATCTGCAGGTGGTAAGCCTCTTCAGGATATGTTGCAGAAGGTTACTTATCACTGAAAACGTTTCGAATTTTGAATCATAGAATCATAAAATTTTTCTTGCGATGAGATGGAATTTTTTTTCCTCTCGTAATAATTTTAACGTTTTATGCCATATAGAAGTACATTAACAATAACTAGCGCTTACTTAGTTTTAGTATACGCTTGAATTTCTCTCGCTTCTCTGCTTTCTTCTCTATTTAAGTCAATCAAATGCATATATATACAATTTCAAGTATTCTTTGTTACATTCGATACTCGAAGCGCATAATTATTGCGCACCATTGTTGGCATGCAATGATCTTCATATAATTGACAATCATTTTCAAAATCTTAATGGCATACTACAAATGCACCAGTAACTTCAGTTGATTCACCTTGTAAGATTTTTAAGCAACTTGCAACGAAAATGATGTAATGTATTTTTGTTTACATTTACATTCATTATTCACATTACATACCTTCACATTTATTCGCACTATATTTGAAGCCATACACCTGATCCTTCGTTGCTCTTCAATCTTATGAAATCAGCAGCCAAATTACACAGAACATAACAGCGCCAGTAAAAAGAACTTGAAAATTAAAATTTTTGCAGGTAAAAAGTGAGTATGATATTCTAGACAGGTTGTATCCTGATGAACCGCTGGCTCAACGAAAAATGATTTTATGTTCTCGCTCCTGGTGTGAGTGGTTTAGTATTACAACGAGAGCTGTACCAGTTGGTTTAAACGTAAACGTTTAGTGTCTGCTCGAGGAAAGAAGATATAAACGTGAAATTTTTAGAGCAAATAACTATTAAATGAATTTCTCTTTTTAGCTGTTGAAACGTTAATGATGATGAGATAAAAAGTAACCTGTTAATTTCAGCGGAAGCGAAGTAGTACTGCCGAAATTTACAGACTACTGTTTTCTTGCCTTTTCCTTCTGTCCTCTTAAAACTGACATTAGTTACGTAATATAGCTGTAACTTTATTCGACGGAAACAGTAAAAATCTACAAACTAAGCAGCATGAGTATGAGCTCCGTTTGTCTATGTGCTCTCAACACCAATTTTATTGACAACTAATGTCAATTTTAAGAGGATAGAAGGCAAATAAGGGATATCTGTATCTTTTCACTTCTCGGCAAATGTGAGCAAATGTCTGTATAGACATTTGCTCACATTTGCCGAGAAGTGAAAAGATACAGATATCCCTTATTTGATACGACTCTAATGACTGTGACTCCTCGTATGCCGACATATACACTATTAGGTATCTTCTATTCTCTTTCGTCTTTTCTATTCTTTTACTTTGAATCGAGTGGCCATTTTTCTTCGTTCATCGTGTATAAATACACTTTCTTGTCGACATTCTTGGAAGATTCTTATTTCTTTTCATTTCACACAATTTTATTTTGATATAGTCATTGTGACCAACAAAGGAGCA